TTACATTACATTAAAATAATCGTTCTTTTCAAGGTATTCCCTGAACAAAGTAGAGTACCAAAGCGAATACGTCTGATATGTACGTTTTTTTTGGTGAAGTTCAGAGAAGATATATGGACGATTGTCAGTCAAATAGTAATTCATAGTAGTAAGTGACTTTTGTCAGTTATTCTAAAGATGTAAACAATGTACTTCGTAATTGCCTGCTAATAGTTACGTTGAAATATACATGTATTTATAATCTTTGGAATGGCATGTTGTATACACGATGTTTTAAAGATAGGGACCCTCGTTCGTAAGCAACGGATTTATGCACACTGTAACTATCGAGTTTTTTTTGGGGGGGGGGGCATTTTAGTGAGTCTCCAAATTCTCAGATATTTGGTTTGTTTTATTTGCTTAGTTTATACTTGAAACTATTTAGTTAGTTCGGCTATTTGTGAGGACTGAGTCACTTAAACAGAAGTAAAACAAAAATCATAATTCTAGTTTTCTAATCAAATCACCGCGATTGATAACTACACAAACACTAGCATAGGTTACGGTTTTCAGTTCAAAAAATCAAATTATATCCTAATCGCCGTGTCATACAATGTACGTGACGTCTTCTTAAAAATGCAGAATTACGAATCCAATATTTCCGAGCCTTTTTTGGCATTTGTTTGTTTTTGGGGCAGCAAAAAAAATTGGGGATGGGGGTGCTAAAGCGTCTGAAAGCGTAATACACAAGAGTACCGGTTCACCTTTAAAGAAAGGCGTATTTATATATACATTGTAATTGTTGTGGCAAGCGATTGGGGTTATTGTGGGGAAATGAAATTCCCCAGACATTGATTTTTGAACAAAACTGACAAATTCTGACTGGTTTTCTTTGTCAATGTTGTAATTTATATATACAGTCATGGTGTAAGTAAACTTTAACCACTATTTTAGTCACATCATGTCCCGTCCAAAGTGAAAAGGTCGTAAAAACCTTTGAGGAAAAAATGAAAGTGAATGGTTGAGCTCATTATAGGAATGGAAAGAATAATGATTATTGTAAAGAAAAGCGGTTTAAATGGCAGTAAAGTGTATTCTGCTCAAGTGTATAATCTTTTAGACACGACTACACATTTACAGACAAATATTTAGGCTTTTGTTGTGATCCCCAGTAATTAATCTATATGCTTTGGGACCCATACTGTGATTCTATGTTTATAAATTATTACACCTTAACCGATTCCGTTTTCATAAATCCCAGCATTTCAAGTGGCTTTCCCTCTGGCCATTTTTTTTAATACACGAATTCTGTCAGCATTAATTCATGCAGCTCCCATGGCTGTGAAATTCTTCCTCAAAGCCCATTCACTTGTGCACAGTGTTCTTAAGAGTCAGGTGTTTTACAGATTACCAAAGGGCACCTTCTCGACATTTATATTTAATGATTCATTAATTTTACATATTTACGTATTGTTCACAAGCAGTGACCTTAGACAGGTCACGCGTATTCCAGGGTAAAATCGTGCACATACTGATCCTAGGAGACGTCGTGACTGCAGTGGCGCCACTGTATTACACGCGTCTTAAGCTTGACGCGCGCGTGCATTTGGCAAAACACGTTACCTTACTGGTCGAAAATGCATGCAATGCATGCATACTATCTTGGTCCGTTTACATAAAGTTCGGTTCATTCATTCTTGAATTGAAAATGAAACATGAAAAACGAATCCAAGCTGTTTTTAGTTTTCCATTAAAAAATCAATCAATTTAACTTTGAAAAACTCTTCTGTTAATTTGTTTTTAATGCAAAAAAAAAACAGTAAACATGGTTATCTATCAATACACTTTTTGAAGAATTAAAACAGTCCCATTTTTACTTGGTAATCTATAAAATGTCTTTATAGCTCCCAAATTACAGAAAAAATATTGGCTGTGTGTGTGCTACACATGTAAATGCAGATGGATCATCTTAGACGTGACGTCGTACCATGTCGAAGGAGACGGTTATTATATAGGCCCTATCACATGTACAATACGACAGGGAACCAGTGTTAACAAATCTTCTTCTCGTTTTTCAATTTTTGGATTTTTGTTTTCAAATCGCAAAACTGATGAAAGAGACGTACACGGACCCATGCACTTGCTCCAGTAGTAATGACTTTTAATGCTGGTCGCCGATTTACACTGCCACATAAGCAATGTGCGACGCATGGTCATATTTTCATTTGGTCAACGGAATTCACAAGTGGAGAAAATATTTTCTGCATCTGAACATCGAAATTGAAAGATGTTTCGACGTTCGTTTAAGTTGCTCATTGTTTGTTTGCATATTAAGGCAGAGTGAACGTTGTCATCGGGTTTTTATTTCACACATGCTCACTGAGGAAAACAGTTTCTTGACCTTTTAGTAAAAGTCTGTGGTCAGTACATGAGAATCTCCCATCTAGATCGGTGGAAATGTTTTGAGGTCATTTTGAATATTTCAGGAAGCTTGCAGACAACCTGTCAGGCCAGTACAATTTAACATCGCACAGCAGAAACCGGGTGGGTGTCAAAACGATCAACAATAATTATACGCTCAAACTTAATCCGGAAAAAATACACCACGATGCAGTGGCGCACCTAAGTGCATGGGGAGTCTCGGGCCTCAAGGCCATACTCAAAACAACATACAACTACATCTTAAACTACTAGCTCTAATGTAGTCGTAAATCCCAGACCTCTGTGGCACAACTGGGGGTGGACATCATGAGCTATTTTGAATAAATTATTTTGAATGCACATCATTCGTAAATGGGAATCAGATTCGAGCTAAAACGTCTCAAGTTGTCAATAGAAGTTGCGCAAGACTGAATGACGGATTGGTTGATACCTAATTGGATGACGTCAACTCAAACGTGTGTGTCGTCAATGCCTTTTACGCGAAATCTAATGTACATGTATGTACCTCTAAACGAGAAAATTAACAATTATAAAACAGAAGCATGAATTCGCATAGCCTAAACCTCTACCTTTAAGAACGGTTACGCATACCAGTAGTGTGTTAAATTTGATAACTTCGGTAGATGCATTAAGTGCAATAGGTCTTACCCGCATGATGATGTCTGGGTTGAATCATTTTCGTCAGAACCCTCCACTTCTTTGTTTCAGAGTTATAATACGTCAGTACATCACCAACCGAATCCTTAGCTTTCCTTGGTTGGCCACCCAACGCCACCACAGTAGTGAGTCGCATCGTTGACCGGGGAGTTGTTCGGCTAGACTGGAGAATGCTCTGTCTCAGGGGCAGACAGTAGTAATGGAGTGCCTCCCGAACCAATGCCTCGCACGACGGTAGCTCCATCAAGAAGTGTGTGCTCTCCACGTGATCCACGAGGTCCGCAGGTTTGATCATCGGGAGACGAACGTTCTCCAGCAGGGCAGCAGCATGACCCAACCTTGTCTCACGGTCTAATTCGATCCACCGCAATACTGCTGCGAACACGGTCAGTTCAGAATCCACGACCAAATCGTCGCGAGCTAAGAGCGTCATTAAAGGTTTCTCCGGCAACTCCAAGAATTCCTGAGCGTCGGTAATTTCACCAAAGTTCCTGGCTGCCATCTTGGAGGCCTCCTCCATCACGCGGGTCAATCCAAACACCGTAGCCAGTCCAAGAGTCCTCAAGCAGTTGAATGTCTCCATGTTCTCGATCATATAATCGCAGCAGATCTTCAGGGCGAAGGAGAGCTTGAGGTAAACAGAAGCTGCGAGGACCTCTTCTAGTGTTGACGAATCAATTGGCAGATTTCCAGTGTACATGGACTCGAGGAGCAACTTTAGCGTGTCGAAGGAGATGCCATGAAGTTTGTAGACGAACTCCTCGCTGTCCAAATTCTCCCCAGTGAAAAGCTCCGAGAAGTACCCGCTGCATGCGGCAAGAACCAGCTTGTGGGTGCCTATCCGATGGGGCCCAATGGCCAGCACTACATCATTCAGCTGCTTCTGTCGCCACAGAGCTGTCATTGCCCCGAGGACGTGCTCAGCGTGAGGAGCGTCCGAAGAAGGCAACGTGACGTTAGGATGAGACACCTCAAGCAGTGTACTAAGCTTGGACTGTCTGCCTGGCAGCTCCGGCAAGACAACCCCAATCGTTTTCGGTGACCTAGGAACTACCGGTGTCGTGGTCTCGGATTTTGTTTTATATAGACTTTCATCCCGCTCGGCATCTGTGCGTTCTTCATCTTCTGTGCGAATAGGCGGTACAGGAGTCGTCTGTGTTAACTTTTGTCCAGCGGGTACCCGGCTGCTTTTTTTCCTATTCTTCCACCGCAACATCTTAATAAATAACAAAAATGGCACTGTTATGAATCTGGATGCCCGTGCTGTTATTGATGATGATGACTATCATCTGCCCTTTGGGCTGGTTGACTGTTGCCAAAACAACATCTCATAGGACAATGCACATGCGCATGTGCGTATCCTTGCACGTCGCGCGCTCTGCGCAAGCACAACCGTTTTGCCGTCTCGGCTTCCGAAGCTACGGCTAGGTCTACTGTCTGCGCGTCTCCACGTAAAGAAGTCCTAGCTCTATCCGGTTCGTAAGTGACTTCGTCACAAAGGCAAACGGGCCACGATTTGCAGACTCTCATTGGACAATCATTGAAGGTGCGCGTTAAATTCCGATTCCATGGTTCAATGTCAACGGCGATCAGTGCATGTAACCCTCTGTGCAGTGGACGTAGTTTAAACTGAAGTGACGTCACGCTTACGAACGGATAGACAGCGGAATCGGATGTAGACTTAATATTCCTCCTTTTCGTCAGTTGTTTTAATGATGTTCTCTTGTTTCCCGTATGGAATATGAAGCTTTCATCAATGCATAAAGAGGGACATTTGCCCTTCCAGATGCCACCAGGATTGCCAGATTTAGACCATTTTCAGGTCTCATGATCCAATATATGGAGCCATCTTTTCGCGGGAACATGACCAATAATGTGTAGATGTTAAGCGGAAATTCCACATAAAAATAGCAAGCGGTACTTTAAGAACTTCTGCCTTCTTTTGCGGGTATTTTCCTAACTAAAACAAATATGGATATGAAACTTACATCAATGGATAGAGGGACATTCGCCCTTTAAGAGGCCACCAAGATTGCCAGATTTGGACAATTTTCGGGTCTGTTCTGATCCAACAATGGATCCATCTTTGCGCGGAAATAAGACTAATAATGTGTAGACAAAACGGGAATTCCACAACAACAAAAAGCAGCAGGACAAGAACTTCTGCCTTCTTTCGCGGATTTTTTCCTACCTAAAGCAAATATGGATATGTAACCTACATCAATGAATAGAGGCACATTTGCAATTTCAGATGCCAAAAGGATTGAAAGATTTGGACAATTGTCTTTTATGATCCAATATATTGAGCAATTTTTGTGCGGGAACAGGACCAATAATGTGTAGACAAAGCGGGAATTTCACGAAACTAGCAATATTATATCATTTACATCAAAATTTATGTTAAGTGCTTTGACACCACTGAGTATAAAGCGTCACATATCAACACTTCATTATTTGAGCAACACAACAGCAAGTTGCTTTTGCATTTTAAAAATCCGTGCCTTTAAATTTCACCTTCAGGACCACAATTTCCTTAACAATTATGTTTTACTTAGAACATTTGTTGGCCGTTTTAGTAGTTTTCAATCATCATAAGCATGGAGAATCCGCCCCACTGATGATTTTGATTGCGAATGTTAACTTCGTTTTTGTTTAATTACGGCAATCAGGTTCGCATGATAAAAATTCAAAAGTATGCAGCTTTTCTTGACTTCAGTAGACTGGTATTTTCCTCTAAAATAGTTCATAGGGCTTAGGCGTCACTTCCACCCATAATGATGCAAGATATGGGGCGGAGAGAACCCCCCCGCCTTTGTGTTGGTCATTGTTTGGTCGGAATCTCAGGAACTCTTTACAGACTTCTGGAGGATGTGTTGGGTAACAATAGTCTAGAGTGCGTATAGGGATTGGACGTATTGGGGGGGGGTACCCATCGGCCCTATATCGCGTACGGTATCCTTCCATCAGTTGCACTACCAGTGGCGTAGCCACGGGGACGGGGAGGGGGGGGGACGTGTCCCCCACAAATTCCCGGTGCCCCCCCGTTTCCCCCCCCCCCCACAAAAAACCTTGATGAATGGATATTGAAGAAGGCTTAAAAAAAAAAAAAGCTTGAAAAACCACACCACTGGAAGCTGGTGCCCCCATCAGGGCGTTTTAGATGGGTTATTCTCAACAATCTCTGTCACTGTTGAGTCTATTTTTGAACATAATGTGGCCCAACTCTGGAAGTTTTCTTGTCTGCCAAACACTTTGCTTCAATCATTTTCTGGCATTTGTATAGTTTCTTGCACATGCTTTGCTCAAAGTTTTAGGCTACCGTCTATTTTTCGTTTCAAGCTGCCATGCTGGTGTGTATATGCTCGCTGTGGTAGTTGAATCTGACAGTCAATAATTACATGGTAAACGTGGCAGAACATTCAAAGAGACATGTACCTAGTTTGAACATCAAAGAAGCAACAATAATTCCAATGAACAATAAAATATACCAAAAGCGTCTCTTTGCTTGCATTTTACAAATGTCTGCTGATTTGCAACAGTCGGCTGGCCAAACTTAGCAATTGGCCGCTACGGTGAACTCGAATGTGCATTGGTACCGGCAATTCTTTTCAAGTTTTAATTAGTCGACCAAAATAATGTGAAAAATCTAACGTGCATTTAAATTTGTACAAAGGAAAGGAGGGTGATTAATCATCAAGGCGATGAGGGCGCTATAACCGATGACTAATGACACGGAGGGAAGTCACTCAGTCGGGCTACCTTAAAATTTAGTGCACCTTTCTCCTGTATTGGCATCAGTTACCAGCGAGCGGGTCAAAGATATTTTAATTCTGAAACGTCAGCTGAACAAAGCTGAAACAAGTGACGAAGATTGTCCTCACTCTACATCAAAATGACCCGTAAGTGGTATACTTTTTATTATTATTATAGATTCATATACAGATTTCTTAAAATTTAATGTTCAAATAAAGCATGTGATTTGTTAATTTAACATATTTAATTAATTTGAAAGTAGGCCTACGCCAGTTCCCCAACTTGTCACGATGACATGTTGTGACTGTAGGCCTAGGCGTCAGAACAGGCATGTCATCCCAGACAGAAATAGCCTCCAGCACTGTCATGATAAGCCTTTTTCACGTTTCATATGTGCAAGCAGAGGGAAGAAATTCATGACAACAACGTTGCGTAACGTTTGGCAAATGGATGCTCGCAATAAACCTTTTTGAAGTTGGCAATGCATTATATAGGCGTGATGGGTGATGAGGATGACAAACAAGCAATGCATTTCATGCACAACCCTATGGGGGAAGTGAACCAGTCAAAAATCAAGCTACAGTTTTCTACTAAATTTGTCTTATGTATCTGCTCATCAACTCACAGATGCATGCGTATTATATTAGGGCCTAATCATATAGTAATATAGGGAGGCTCATAAATTTTGCAACTATTTTTTTTATGTTTTCTTTTGGACTTGATTTTGGAGAGGATGTAATGAGAAACATTTTGATATAGTTTGGATTCCATCGGTCCTTGCAAAACAAAGAAATACTGATTTATAGTTGGCCTAGGGGTATTTCAAGATGTTTTGGGACTTTTTTTTGCATGTGTAATGCAGAGGAAACTGATGTTTTTGTACACGAAAATGAGTGGGTTTTGACTGAAAAGCTTAAAATCCATATTTTTGTAAAATCTACCTTATTTCAATGAATTAAATATTGGGTGAAAGAAGGCAGACCCTGGCTCTTGTATATATGGTAATTGGTCTTTGTGTGTAGCCCAGAAATGAAAAGACCGAATTTGCATCATAATCACCAGTTTCACAATTTCAACACTTTGAAAAGATGCAAGTTGCAAGTTGGGTCTTGACAAAGCGGTGTCAGTAGACAAAGTTGAGGCATACATGTACGTGCAACAATCTCTTGATCATTATTAAGTAACAAAGGAAGTGTTTGCTTACAAGGGGACGCTTCCATCTTTTTTGATTCAGAAAACATTTGGTCATTTACATTATAGTGACATCTGCCATCCCACAATGTTCCAGTCACATGCACATTGACCCAATGGTTGTGGATTTTGAACAGCAGTGTGGGAGAAAAAGTGACTTTCTTATCTTACTTTCTGTTAGTGATAGTTACTACAGGCTTATACCTGTACATGTGCACTGCTGTCATGCTGTTACATGCAGTAAGTTTACTCTTGGAACAAAATGCTACTCAGGACTAATCACAGGTTGGCTTTGTGAATGAAACTTTTCATCAACCAGTCAGTGACTGCTTACCAAACCGTTTCCACTGTTACCAGTTTTGTTTCCAGTGTGTTGCAGGGTTTGTTTGTGGATACATGGTCAACATTGCTATTTTCACCCATAACTGCATAATGTCCATTAATTTATTTCCCAGATACCTTGTATTGAACGTGTACATTTACATAGCAAATACATGTATCACACCTTTTATCTTCGTTTTGGAACTGTACCTACTTGTAGCCACAAAGGAAATACTAATAGATGAAGGCAACACATCCCATTTGTACTGGATTCTTTTTTTTGCTGACCCTGGCAGATTCTCTGAAAGATAGAGGATTGAGATTTTGGGACTTCTAAAGGTCGGATAGCAGATTCACAACTCAAAAATGCAGGGCACTCTTCATCAGTATCATTTGGGACCAGTTACACTGACTGGGACCAGCTACACTGACTGCTTCTGCACAAATGACTCAATAATAACTGCCAGAAATGATTAAGCTGATACAGAAGTATCTGACTTTAATAGATGTACTTGTAGCTTGCCAAAGAAGCCTTTTTTGGCCTCTATGGCATTTTTATATGTAAATACATGTACATGTATGTTAAGTCTCATATAAAGACTAGCGCATACGGTCACTTCATGTACAAGTGTGTATCAAAAAGCACAATGTGAGTTGTTTACAGATGTTCCAGGCAGGCAGTGGACATTAGAGTCATGTCTAGTTCACCATCTTTTATGCATAATCTATGCACCCTAATGGACGACACATACATGTACATGCCAATGTTTAAAGTTTTGAAGGATGCATCAGAGCAAAAGGTTTAAGATGTTTAAGTTGTATAAACCTTTTGAGAAAGATTCTGCTAGGATTAAAACGTCAGGCCCTCTAACTTTTTCACTTTGTATTGTTAATTCATGTACATGTACTTTTAGGTCACTGTAGTCAGCGATGAGTTTGCAGCAGTTTTTGTGCTTTAAATTTCAGCAGTTTAAATTTTTTCTTTTTGACTGAATAGGTGGTAATCAGCGAGAATTGGCAAGGGCCAAGAACCTGAAGAAACAGCAAGAACAGCAGAAGAAAAAGGCAGCAAAGACAGCAGGAGGAAATGCAGGCACAAATCTGGAAAGTAGACGTCAGAGGTACAGTCTGGGTTATCACTGATTGTCATTGTTCCCTTAGCAATTTTTTTTTTCAAGAACCTTCCCAAATCCTCCATAATCCTTTACGATGCCAGGAAGCTGGAAAAAATAGCACATTCTGTGTACTTCCAAACTTTATGGTGGATTTTGTAGGATCCTGGAGGGTGGCAAATTGGAAGAAATTAGACTTAGTGTTGCTTTTTAATGTTACTGTGCTTGGTATTACCGTGTGACCATATAGTATCATTCCATGTACCGGCAGACCAGTTCACACCATATGCAGAGAGTTTGAGGCATGTTTGCCTCTTGTATGATCACAGTTTTGGAAATTGCCATTCGTAAATTGCCCCCTGCATTTGTCAGATATACATGTATGCCATGCTTCAAATCAAATGTGATTTTCCGTTCAATTAGGAGAAAAATTTGCAAAAGTGAAAAAAAAAAATTTAACTCAGTTTGCCAAAAATGGTGTCTTTTTTTCGTGCAGGGATGCCGATGTGATGCGCAAAAAGCAACAACAAGCAGAGGAAAAGAAGGCAGAGCAGGCAGGAACAAGCAAGAAGTAACCCCAGCCCTCCGGAGGATCTCTCAGGCCAAGGTGACATGGAATCCAGGCCATCCCATTCCTCCCGGAGGCTACTTATAAATACTGGCCAAGATATTTGTAGATAAGGCAAAAAACAGATGAAATATTTTTGTTTCCCCAACCTTTTCCCAAGACTGAGCTCAAGAATGACTGATTTGGCCTCCAGATTAATTGTAAAATGTTTGCACTCTTTTGGATTTGTATCACTTGCTTTTGTTTGCGTTGCCTTCTCTTTATCACAAATTAAATAGTAATATGAAAATATTTACGATTATCTTGTCATTACTTGTTTGATGTTTCCACTTAATTATTCAGAAACATCATGCACAAGGACTTAACCAAGCACTGATCTGTAATCATGCAAGGTGTCCTTTTAACAATAATCCACCTGATTTAAGAGATTTGACTTCTGGCATGCTAGAGCAATGAAGTCCTGCTGTGTGCAAGCATTGCCAATACATGTACATGTAGGTCACCCGCATTAACTACCTAAAAATAAGTCCCGTTTTTACTTGAGTAAGAAAGTTTTGATAATTTTCTATTCATCAAGTGCTGGTATTAAAAGCAAATCCTAGTTTGTGAATTACTTTACTAATACTGTTCAGCAGTTGTAAAAGCAACGTTGAATGAAGACCAGATTTGAATGTACTGTGTTAAAGTCAACACTAGGTACAGACAAACAGTTCTTTGAAGTCAATAAAATCATTTACACATCTCAACATTTTTGATGTAGCCAACATTGTTTATTTACAAAAGATTATATGGAAATAAAGAAACAGCATTTTTGAACTTCTAAACAGAATCTGTGATGGTTGGTAATTATCATTTACAGTTTTTGCAGATCAACTGGTATTCAGAGAAAGACCCAATTCGATGTGGGTAGTCTGTGATGGTTTTCTGGGCTTTAACTCTCCCTGAGCCATGATGTCACATTACTACATCTTGATACAATCTCCAGATATCCCAGGAAAGTGCTGATAAACACGTTTCATCTGGAAGTCAACTACATTGTAAAGCAGTGAATTTCATTTTCTACAATCATGATGCCGTGTCCAGCAACACTGAACAATGCATAATCTTAAAGATCCTTACAATCAAACCATATCCAGAGACTAAGAAAACATCTCACAAAATCATTGTCCTGCCAACACCATTCAGTACTGTTGGATGTTGCTGCATTCTGCAGGGATGAAGATGTAGCTTTGGAGGGTGGTAAAATCTTTGAATGCAATGTATTCAATGGTACAGTAAGACTGCTGGAAAAGGGTCTTGACTAGACCACGGTGGTCTTGAATTTGGACTTTGGACCAGCATTAAGGTCAAAGCCTAACATGCAAAAAATCATGGTGCAGCAGTCGGGATTCCACAGGTTTGGTCATGTCAAAAGGTCGTGCCATGCTTCCTTAAAGCACTGAGCTACAAAATTATCTAGTTTACATTGTCCAGTCCATGGCTTTGACGTGTCTATTTAGTGTGCTTGGAAACTACAAAATGTAACGGGGGACCTCGGCATGATAATACTGAAACCTTCACAGTTGCATTTGTGAAATAAAGGAGAATGGAATTGAGAAGCAGGCACTTTGCCAGATTCCAGTAAGTTACATGTGTATTCCTTAAAGACAAAAACCTTTCATATCTATTAATGTGTTCTTAAAATTTGGGAGGGGTGGATTTATGGATTAAAGATGAAAAAAAAAAACTAGAAAAAGTGGGTAAGATGGAACAAGTGACTGCTGTTATCTCGACTGTGCCCCGCTAGTTCTTGACCGTGACTGCCATTCTTTGGATTGTCTCCTCCGCTGGTCTTGGTTCTGAGGTGATGCTGTCTGGCTGGTGCCCCGCCCTTGTTTTAAACCCTGAGATGATGTAGGAGAGACAAGAAGCAAGACTCACTGATTTACCATTTTAATGGGGGGGGGTTTAATCATGAAATTTGCTGACAGACTATCAGCAAATTCCTAAATGCAATGGAGGTCTGATTCCTTGACCTGACAGGTGGCCCCCTCCCTTCTCCATTCTTGCTGACAGCACCAAAGTTTTGCCGGGGGGGGGGGAACTGACATCCCACACCAGTGCATTTTTATGAAATGGAACAATCACCACTTATGCCTTGTATAGTTGTTCTCATGCTAATCCAGCACTTGATCACATACTTTTTTCTCATACGTTTTGCAACTTATAAGCCTTGAAGGCCTGCTTGCTTACTTCTACTACCAAAATAGTAAAAGCAGTGCTCTAGTATTAACCCACGACAACTGTGGATGTACCTTGGGTCACATTTGCATGTAAGAGTGACCACACTGTAATGTCTTCAAGTGTCTGTGTGAGCAGCCAAATGTGTAAACAACTACTTGATAAGGACTGACCTGGTAGTATCCGGTGTGATATCCGCTCATATACCATGACATAAGCATGGTGTGCAGGGCCTCTTCATCCCCTTGCTGTGCCTCAGCAGGAATAGACATGGGTGTGGGAGGGGGAATGTCAGAGGGTAGAGGGGGCACTGGCATTGCTAAACCCTGAGTAGAAAACAGCAAGACAGAGGAGAACATTAAATCATTGTCAATCAATCATTCTGTTGCATCATGCCAAAGCCAAAGAGATCAAAATTAAGACTTGAAGGTTTTCATGGTGAAAGAACTCTATAAGTAAAACGATTGTGGTTAGACAGAAGATGGACAGAGTACACTGTTCGAAACGTCAAGTTATTCCCTGCTTCTTCTCAGAACCACACATACTCAAGAAAGAGATTGATCCATGGTGTAACTGCTATCGTTACTCATCGCTACTCATTGAGATCAAAATTGTAATTTAAAGCGGTACTTAAAAAAATAATATTGACATTTGGGGTTCTGGGAATTGACTTGCCATCCCCAAACCAAAATGCATTAGATTTCTCAACCAAAAAGCAGGACAAGATAAATAAGAGGCATTTCTGTCCACAGCAAGTCCGATTTCCGAAACACACTTATGGCCAAATCTATTGTTTATGTTGGGCTGATGACATTATTCTTTCGACAAATTTTAGCATGCATGCATGCAACCCTGCCTGGTGCAGTTGTAGCTACAGCTCCATAACACAAGATGGTTTGATGAGCTTACAGAGAATATGCTCCATATTAAAGTTGTGTGTAGTCTCAGATTTTATGATCATTTTGTAAGAATACTTTTGAATTCATGTCAAAAACAAGTCATTGAAAGCAAGTCTCAACATGAATGGTTGTCTGATTAAGGTACTCAGGACAGAAATTTGGTTTTACATACCAGTATGGTAGCTCTATGGGTACACACAAATTGCAATGTGCTGTAGTAGTAACATTCTTTTCATAAGTTTGACGTGAGGTCTCAGACCAATAAAATGACAGTACCGTACATGTATCCAAAACAGGATTTAACAAATTCTCCTCAAAGGGTTTTCACAGTTCTGCCTTTTCTTCAGTCATCAATGATTTCAGCCTTGAATTTATATTTATGTGACTGTGTGTGGTATCGTACAAAATGTGCTCTGTTGGACACAAGTTTTGGCTGTTTGAGCATGTTCTGCTTATTAAGAACTGCAGTGACCAATTCCTGAAACAATCTCAGCTCCCTAGGGAGCATACAGCTACATTCTGACTGTACAAATAAAATTGCTGCAAAGCTTGCTACATATTAGAGAATTAGATCTCTTTGGTGAAGTGAAGTAACTGACAGTGTAAAAGCCAGATTGCCATTTCAAACACACAACCAGGTTTCAAGATTGAACAATTTCCTGTTTTGGAATAGTTTGTCACGCATGCAAACATATGGATGGTAAAATGATACTGATAACAAGTAAGCAACTTGCTTTCCATATTATGCATTAGGTATAAAATTTTAAAACAGTTGAAATAAATGATGTTAGACAGCCTTTTGAAGCTTTTTTGGTGAGCAATATCTCAACCTTATTTTTGATGGCATGAAAATATCACTGGCTGGTGCACTTGTATAAATTCATTGCCTGTATTAAATCAGCAGTTGGCAAATCTCGATATGAGCATGTACAGTTGGAAAACCAAATGGGCTTGTTCATGGAACAAGTTTCATTGAAGAAAATCACTCACCTGTGGCATGTACCCATGTCCATGGAAAGGGGGATATGAAGGGAAACCAGGCAGAGTGAAGCCATGTGACTGAGGGATGGAAACACAAGTCAATTACTCATTTGAACTCTAAAGGTGATCCCCGTAATATCATAAACCCACTTTGATATGATATCCAAACACAGCTTTTGGTGGTCCATTGCTGGATGATTTCAATTAAATTTTATTGAAACAAATTATATCCAGAAACTGACCAGGTGCTTACAAATGATTACAAAGATGAACAAAGAAACTGACTGGAGTGGGACTTGAACCTGCAGCCAGTGGAATACCGTAGCGGTGCTCTACCACCTAAGCCATCCAGCTCTAAGGCAGTGGCTCTTCCCATTTGTCAATATCTTTGTTTGGGGGACGCTAGCCAGAAGCCATTAAACCCAAAACACCATGTAGCCAGGGTTGATGCTTAAAAAGCCGCATCCTCTCTGAGTGATCCCTGTTCACCTCTGCCCAGGTTGTATCGCGTTATTGGGGCATGATCCCTGGCAATCCCTGGGAAAAGCCACTGACATAGGGCTGGATAGCTCAGTTGGTAGAGGACTGGTACGGTATACTGGAGACCACAGGTTCAAGTCCCATTCCAGTCAATTTCTTTGTTCATCTTTATAATTAAATTTTATTGGACTATGTATCACCTTGCTCTTAATTTCTTTAGACACTGTGCTTACACTGATTGCATTGAGGTGACTACATGTACTAAGTTACCAGAGATGTACAATCAAAAAAGCACCATAACACCTTCATGACAGATGACAATTGACTTAATGACATACTGATCTCATGCCATACATGTATGATGACAGACAATGCCCTCCAGGATTCTGAAGTTGTACAAGTGTAATCTAAGGTGATGCTGTCACTTTGGTGGCACTGCACTCATTCACGCTCCTTCAACTTGAGGTGCATGTGTATTTTGGCAACTCACAATATCCTATGTTACGTCAAATTGGTATTCAACGCACGTATGTACATTACCATCAGCATGCAAGTGTGGCACCAGTGCTGCAATGGCTTCTAATTCTGGTTACTACATGTACATGTAGCCTTGACAATGCAGCCTTTGATGAAGGCTGCAGGCCTAGTTCATGATATGTGTTTGCATGGGGCACAGTGTTTATTCATGCACATGTGGTCGTGTCATTCGAGTTGAATCAATGTTAGTCGTTGGAACAATGCTACGATTGCTTGAGTATCATCACCATGCCAGAGCCCATTCTAAATGAATGTCTGACGTAGTGTGCTGGCACTCTTTGAGACTTTTGTCAGCTAGCCTATCAAAGCTACTATTCAGAAATGACAAAGATGGCTGTTAATACAATGTAGCTGTCAGCATTATGTAGAACTCAATGACTGGTCACGATCTGGTCCTCAAGTCAGAGATGATTCAAACCAAATTGAAGAATCTTCACGAGTATCAAGGACATGCAAACCACAATACATGTACATGTACGTTGGCTAATATGTGAAACATCAACCTAGTCGTCATAAAACAAGATAATGGTGCAATCAGAGGAAACTTACCATTGGGTGTGGTGGCCAATGCACTGGTGGGGGTATGGGTGGCCTGAAAGGCTGCTGAGATGGATACCAGTGGTTGTCATAGGAATAGGCATTGAGGCGATTTCCTCTGACCCCTGACCCAGATGGTGCTGGACTCTGGTTGTGGTTTGAATATTCCATGGATTCATAACCAGCCTTCAGAATGTACATGTAAATCACAAAGTTGGGCAAAGAGTTGATATTAGGGACATAAAATGGTCTCTATAAAAAGTTCTGGAAAGGGACAACAAAATGACGCATTTTGGTACGACATGTATATGTCATTCTCAACAAAGTTGTAATTCTTATTGGATAAAACTTGGTTCATGTCTAAAACACGATGTTAGATGATTCAGCTCAAACACTATTAAAAGAATGTCATACTAGAAAAGTGAGACGAATGCATAGATAAGTCAATGACACTGCGTCCTAGTATTCTAATGTTAAAGTGTTGGCCTGAGAAAAATTGTCTACTCTATCAGTGCCCCGGAGATTACACGTAATGTCTACATGGATAATTATTGCCTTTTAAAATTTCATTCCCATGAACGCAGCACTGGGCATTAACATAAACACCTATGCATATTATGTGCATAAAATATAAAATTGCAAAATACAGAAAGGGCAGAATTTCAGAACAATGGAATCACCTGAGCCAGATACTGTTAGTCAGACATCCTAAACCGGGAAGCTTGACCTTTACCATACAGCAAATTTACATTTTGTAACAAAATGGTCCTCTCTTAGTTTGGACCTGACTAAATTCTTCAAGCCAGAAGATTTGAAGAGTCTCAGCTGCTATAAAGACAATATCACCAGCAGTTGGAGGGGAAAGTTGAACCAAAGAATAAGAAATGATATTTTTGTTCACTAACGGCATTGTCACTGCTACTGCATCAAATTTAGGATGCTACTATGATAAAATGTACCTCAAAGTCTCCATTCACAGGTCGCGAGGGTGAGCCGACCTCTGACCCCGCTGACATGAGGTCATCCAAGTCTTTCTCTTCCTCATTACCATATCCGACAAATGTGACCCAACATGTGCCCCTGTCATGGTCAATCAGTTTGATCACTGCATCGTATGTGTACTCATCCTCGGTGTAAATAGCGCGACATCGGTCACCGACTTTCCACTGGTATTCAAAAAGAAAGTGGGCAGAGTAAGAGACAGAGAGAGGATAAATATGCCATGAGGTTATGGCAACAAATTTGGACAAGGTCACCAGCTCAAAAGGGCATGTCACCTCTTGCTTCAGAATATTTCTATACTAAATCTGGGTTTGTACAGAAATTTACTGGGAACTTTATAATCAGCAGTCCTTTGCAGTTGGGGAACACGCCTTTGATCTGCACATCATAAGGACTACTACGTCAAAATTATTTGCAGGGTAGGGGTTCATAGATCTTCAAGCAACACGCCTCTTACTGTGTGTTTCTTATGTCTCTTCTGACTCCAATGCTTTCTCTTCTTACGTTGGTTTCCACTCTTTGCAGACTTTCTGCCATTCTCTGGCCCACCACTTTCTTCATTACTGGCCTCGCCCTGGACAGGACAAGCATACACATACATGTATGTATATACTCCTCAGGTATTTTGGGTAGGTGTACCTGAATATATCGAAATCTAACACCCACAGTTTCAATTAAAATATTTCTCTGCATTATTTTTGTCATAACTTTCAGAACTTTTTTGTTGTGACAGAATTTACATGAATCTAAAGATGAACAAAGAAACTGACTGGAGTGGGATTTGAATGTACGGCCTTCGGAATACTGCACCAGTGGTCTATCGAGTTGTCCAGCCCTATACTGGCGGCTCTTCCCATTTGTCAATATCTTTGTTCAGGGGGTGCCAGCCAGAAGCCAATAAACCCGAACCACCATATAGCCAGGGATCACACCTCAATTACATGATACAATCTAGTCAGTTTCCCTGTATGACTTGTTTCAAAATTTACATGAAGTTACCTATTAAAAGCACAGCGTTTACCTAAAAAACCAAAGCATTTCCACAACGAAAAAAGATGTCTAACTTTCTATAAATAACAAATCATCACAGTTTAAAAGATTAAGTTGAAAAAGAGCACATGAACTTAAAACATGCACCACTTACCCTGACAGTTTTGATTGCTTTGTCATAGGCTTTAATCAATGCAGTGTCATCCCAGATATCCGACAATTCATTGTCATCGCTCTGATTGAAATTTGGGGGAAAACCAATGAAGTTTTAATATACCAGAATACATATACAAAATTTTGAGATTTAGAAATGTTAAAAATGCCAAGTGTCATGAATGTCTTGGATCACTCACAACAGGTGTTTATAGCAATGGCCAAAGGGTACCTGTGCGTTTGTGCAGATGTTATGCAGTAGCCAAGGGTATGGACGGAATCCAGTATTACGGCACCAGAATAAGGCTACATGTAAAGGACGATTACGAGCAACCAGTCCACTGAGACCGGTGCACTGGACTACCATTCCCTGTATCCTTGGCCCTACACCTGTACAGGTCCATGTTCTGGGCAACCTGTCCATGAAGGCCGGTGCACTGGACTACCATTCCCTGTATCCTTGGCCCTACACCTGTACAGGTCCATGTTCTGGGCAACCTGTCCATGAAGGCCGGTGCACTGGACTACCATTCCCTGTATCCTTGGCCCTACACCTGTACAGGTCCATGTTCCGGGCAACCTGTCCATGAAGGCCAGTGCACTGGACTATCATTCCCTGTATCCTTGGCCCTACACCTGTACAGGTCCATATTCCGGGCAACCTGTCCATTAAGGCCAGTGCACTGGACTACCATTCCCTGTATCCTTGGCCCTACACCTGTACAGGTCCATATTCTGGGCAACCTGTCCATTAAGGCCAGTGCACTCGACTATCATTCCCTGTATCCTTGGCCCTACACCTGTACAGGTCCATATTCTGGGCAACCTGTCCATTACGGCCAGTGCACTGGACTACCATTCCCTGTATCCTTGGCCCTACACCTGTACAGGTCCATATTCTGTGTGACCAGTCCACTGGAACCAGTGCACTGGACTATCATTCCCTGTATCCTTGGCCCTACACCTGTACAGGTCCATATTCTGTGTGACCAGTCCACTGGAACCAGTGCACTGGACTATCATTCCCTGTATCCTTGGCCCTACACCTGTACAGGTCCATATTCTGTGTGACCAGTCCACTGGAACCAGTGCACTGGACTATCATTCCCTGTATCCTTGGCCCTACACCTGTACAGGTCCATATTCCGGGTAACCTGTCCATTAACCCTCCTTTAGTTTTACAG